CCCCCCCCCCCCCCCCCCTACTGCCTGATCCTCAGCATCAGTGGATCAAAGAGGTCACATCATGTCTGCTTCCTCTAAACCCACCCAACAGCTGATAACTGCTCGGTGGCCAGAATGTTCGGGAGCGCCGCGGCGGTGTGCTTTTAGTCCACGGAGCGGAGACAATGGCCTGTCAACAGCAGCTTGGCTCGCAGTCCGCTGTGTAATCTGCAGGATGAGTGCGAGCGCTGAGTCCAGGCCTGTTTGTGGGGGGAGGGGTGCTTTACTCTTAGCTTCTTTGACGGACAGGCTCAGGCTGTCCGTCTCGTTGACTATCCCAGCTTAGGCTTTTTGTTACACGTTGTGGGAGTGCTGTGGCTCCTCCAACATCCCATACCAGTAAAAAGAATTCATGTTTTGTGATGGCAGGAAAATCACAGGCGCAGTTAACAACATTAATGAAGTTTGCAAATTCATTTAGGTGTGCCAGTTTTCACACGCCTGTATTGTGCGTACTGGCCAGGGAACACCAGCACACAAACAAAATGGAAAGCGTCACCATTAATATTACTAGTGATAGCTGTGCTGGTCCTGCTGTGACAAATCAAATACCTGCTGTGAAAAAAGGCCGTACAAGGCTCCAACTACAATTTTCTCTCCCCTCACTGATAATATGTCAGAAACGTATCACTCTGCGGAAATAAAGAAAATAAGACTTCATACTTTCACTGCACAAAAAACTAAAAACCTGTCATAGCAGCAAAAGCAGGTGTAATTGATATTATAATGTTACATTCCTTTTGTGTCAGTTTCAGGATCCAGTTAACTTGCATGTTTGCTCACTTTGTTAAAGCTTCTGGCTACACACAGGCTATTATTGTGGAGATGTTACAAAATGGAATAACAAGTCTTGCACTGAGCCAGATACTGGTTTATTAGTTTAATGACATGACTTTACATTGTCTCTGTCTTATCAGGCGGTCCTGACTCTTGTGCCCAGACATGTTTAAACAGAAACTCTTTTAAAAGCAATGCAAGATTTTCTGTTAATGTGCTGCTAATATTTATGTTGGAACTTACTCATGCAGTCCAGCTCTTTTACAGAAATTCAGTTGAAGCACTTCTCAGAATAAGAAAACGGCCGGACCAAATATCTCAGAGTTGTGTCCAAGTTTTACCATAATAATCATCTGATAGGAGTTCTCTACTCTCGTATGACATGTATGATTTTAATTACAGTTCATTTTTAGTTTTTATGTAAAAACAAAGAAAACCAAAAAAAACTTTGTGGGAATTAATAGATCTGTGTTTATTTTTGGAACATTTAAGATCAAGTGACTTCGAACTATTTTGTTTTCTATTTATTATTTTTTTGATTCACTTTTTTCTAGGGGTTCTTGTTTAATAAAAAGAAATACAACCGTTGAGTATGTTTGTGGGGACATAAATAGTGGGTCAAAATAGTTTAAACTAAAACTTAAAAAAAAATAACATGAAACACTGGCCGCGCTGACTGAGGCGAGACACTCAGAGATGTTTGTCCGTGTCTTCCAACAGGGTCCTGGGTGGAGTTAGAGATGAACAGAGGCACAGCCGGATCAGCCCAGCCACCCTCCACAGACGGGCCGGCCCCAGGCCTGCTGCCCCTCCCTCAGGTGGAAGAGGAGGAGGCCATGGTGGGGGGACTGGAGCACGTCCCGTCCTCGTCCTCGATCCACAATGGAGACATGGAGAAGATCCTGCTGGATGCCCAGCACGAGTCGAGCCGCAGCAACTCCTCCTGCGACAGGTAGTGTCTGCCATGCACCCTGTCCCCAGTAGCTCCAGAGTTGCTGTTCTGTATCTGAACATGACCTCTGACCCCCTTGTAGTTGTACATGTTATTGGAAAAAAGCAGCAAAGGCTACTCATATAATTATATTGCATAAATAACATGATAGAATAAACTAATCTTCCTTTAACTCTGAAACTCACAAAATAGGTTGAAGTCAAAAGGCTGCTATATTTCCTAATCTGCTTAACGTTACATACAGATGAAGGCACAGGAATTTCCACCACTATTTCAAAGCTCAAAGGAAGTCATGAGTTGTTGGGCTCATAAAGCATATGTGTTTATAGTTGTGGATGATCGAGGCCACGCGGTGAAGGTGGTTCCTGTCTAATGCTCCTTTTGACTTTCACTCACTTTAGTGCAGCCTGCTTAAGGAGTTTCATTTCATTTTAAAGCCACAACAAAGTCTCTTGTTGTTTTGCTGTTTTTTTTTGTTAACCTGGTATGTAATCAGCAGCTCACTTGCATCCCCTCCAGTTTTTTGAACAGTGTCTCCTTGCAGCAGGAAACACAGTCATGATTGGGTGACATAAAAGCCAGTGGAAAATCATCTTAATCCAATCTTGCTCCACCCAACAGTCTGGGTGGGTTTTTTTTTTGGTCAGTTAAAACCATAATTGTATGATGGTTCAGATGTTGAGAAAACAGCAGTCCTCAATAGCTTGACTGAAACAAAACTTTTCAGTCAAAAGCTTTCAGCCTGGATAGACCAGATGGCTGTTCATCTGCTAATCGCCCAATGAAAGCTCAGGGGGAAAAGTGAAACTTAAAACCTTTTTTAGAAGAGGCATTTAATATTGGTCACTTATCTTCTAAAACCCCTCAACTTCCCTTAATGTCCCAGTGGCAAACTGAAATCAGCCCATAAATCAGGAGTGGCTTCTCTCTCATAATTGCAGTGTCAACATGTTGAGTCAGCTTTGACTGTGATGTGACAGCTGCTCAGGAGCTGAGTTGGCTCCTGGAAATAAAATGACGTCTTCTCGCCTCCTGTTTTATTGAGCACGTAAGAAAAATCCCTGACCCTTTAACTCCCAGCCACATCATGTGCTTTGTGTGTGCTCCTCGAGGCTGAGATAAAGTCAAGCTTATCAGAGAGCCGGGCAGTCAGCGGTCAGTGAGTCACCAGAGGATGTTTGGGAGAGTTTGAGCCACAAACAGGAGCAACAGGAGTAGCATTTGTCATTGTTGCTTTATTGGGTTTATTGTTTCAACCACCACTCAAACTGAAAACATTTTTAATGATGCGAGATGGAGAAAAACTGCCCCTCATAACCCCTCTTATTTGTATATTTATTTTTTTGGAAGATTATATAAGAAAATACTTGATCATCAAAATAGTTGTTTTATTGAATTTGTATAGCCATATATAAATCAAATGAAAAATCCAACCATATAACTTGTGAAAATCTCAAACAAGCACTTTTACCTAGCTGTGTTCAAATCGTCATACAGTTTGTTAGTGGACCCTTTACCATCCTTCGTGCACTGATTGGAAGGGTTGTTCAACATTTGACCTGAACTGTGTTTGAGGTGTTCTGTCACACGATTGCATTGAATGGCAACAAATATTTTCCATTCCCATGGTATAAAGCATATACCTGAGGAGTCAGGAGTTCATGACTTGGCAAATAATGAGGCCTCTGATTTGTTGTTCTTGACTCCGCCCACAGCCCCCCGCGGCCCCACAGTCCCCAGGATGATGGACAGATCATCTTTGACGTGGACGTGAGCGGCAGAAGAGACAGCCAAGTAAGAGCTTGTGTTCCTCGCCGTTTCTCCATCGGCCTGTTGCCATGGCAACCTCAACCACTGGCCCTGAAGTGTGTGTGTGTGTGCGCACATGAGAATGACAACTGCGTCCTGCCTTTAGTTTCCATGGAGACGCCTGCCACACCCAGTGTTGATTCCTGTTTCTTTGACCCAGCATTTGTTGTCACCATTACTTTCACTCTTCTTCACTCTTTTTCTCTGTCAGTCTCTGTCAGGGAACTCTGGAAACTAAACTCTTGTGTATTTTTCTGTAGTTATGAGTCTTCATGTCCATGACACGCCTATACATTAATATCCACAACATGTTTTTAAAGAATAGACCTTTTTCACAGCGGTCATTTACTGTCACATAAAATAGTAGGGTAAACACCGGCTGTTACCAATGATACTAATTAAGCTTCCATTGCATTTAGTGTAGCAGAGCCTTTCTAGTGAGCCGACATACACAATAGCAGCACCCTCACTCTGTTTGACCTGAATGGAACAGAACCCTAATTAGTATCATTGGTAACGCCTGTGTTTACCCTAAAATTTCAGGTCAAAATGGCTGCTGTGAAAAAGGTCTATGGTCATCATGGACATAAAGCCTGAAGGTTGCTAAATTACGTGTGTTTGTGTCTTTAGTCAGAAGAGGACGTCTTGGACAAGGAGAGGGACATGGACATCCTGATGAAGGACGCAGATTGGGTTGCTGACTGGTCTAGTCGACCGGAAAACATTCCCCCGAAGTAAGTATCAACTCAGTAAACACCAACGTAATGTTTCCATGGCAACTGAACACACACAGCTGCTTGTTTGTCCTGAGAAAGTGGTCAGTCATTAGGGCAATAAAGCACAAACATAAAGCCAACTGCAAGAAATTGTGAATGAGGTTGATGTACGTTTTATTGAGTTGAAGGTTTATTGATCTACAAACTCTATTCATATTTTTTCTTTCCCAGACGTTCAGCCCCTGTTATGCTTGACAAAAGGAAATATCTCTGCCTCACAGCTTTGATTTTAGCACAGTCATATAAGCTGGTGATTGAGTGTTTCTGATCACTTTAATGCTCCCATGAAATGATAAAGAGCTTATCTGCAGCTCCTTATTTGTCTGTTTTTTTTCATTGTTTATATATTTGTTTATCATAAATGTATTACAATATAATCCTAGAATAGTCTTTACACCAAAATGGGTAGTGATGATGAATTATTGCTGCATATAACATGTTGTATACATAAATGTTACCCAATGAAATATGAATATGAATTGTGTATTAAATACACTGAATATGTGTCCATTTGCAACAATATTGTCAACATAATCAGCGGCCCTCTGTGCTGCCAAAGCCTTAAACATATATTTGATGATTACTGCTCTTCCATCTGTTCAGGCAGCAGCCACAATAACTGACTGCTGAATTTATCTAAAGATGAAGCTCTTGTAATGATTTCTAAATTATGACCTCAAATTAATGATCGATTGTAAGGAAGGCAGAAGTGAATCCTTCTAGAAACCCAAAGTCGATTTTCTTCCCAAAAAAGGTGAGACCTAAGAGTTAGTTTCAGCTTTTGTGATTGTTGTCTTGGTGGCTTTGGAAACTACTGTTGGGTTACAACTAATTATTACCTTTATGTTTGAATAATCAGTTAATTATTTGTCAGTTCAGTTCAGTTCACTTATTTTATTATCCCAGATGGGAAACTTGCTTTTTGTCAGTCAGGGCACTAACATAAAAAGTACCAAAAACACAAAAATGATTCCTGTACATACAATACATACAGTAAAACAGCATACAAAACCAATGCAAGATGCAAAAATGGAATGCTAAAATTAAGCTTAAAACTATTCAGCGATATTGCACAAGGAACAAGAGTTTTCACTCCTGTTGCACCGTGGTACTCTAAATCTGCAGCCTGAGGGAAGTTTCAAACTCAATGTGAAGGTGGTTTGTACAGTCCAGTATGGACCTGGTCTGTCTTCAGTTTACATGTTTTATCAGACAAACTGTTGACCAAAGTATTAAATGTACAATGATTGAAAACAGAGACAATAAACCATAGATGCTTGGTGGCACATTTACCGTGATTGACAGGTGTCATGTTGTCAGCTGCGCTCTGTCTAAAGTGACCATGATCTGTGCAGGGAGTTTCATTTCCGTCACCCTCGACGCTCAGTAACACTCAGCATGAGGAAGACCGGGGCCATGAAGAAAGGAGGCATCTTCTCCGCCGAGTTCCTCAAGGTCTTCATCCCCTCGCTGCTACTATCTCACATCCTGGCTCTGGGGCTGGGGTAAGTCACAGCTTCACCGAGTGCACATCAGGCCTGATAGTAGCGTCATCAATGAACAATCAGCATGTTGGTTTTTTTAACTAACGCTTTCTAACATTTCCCTGTTGTACATAAATATCCCCAGTAGGGGGAGCTGTATAGCCGCAGACAGCAGTTAGCCGTGTCCCTCCGATAGTGTCTGTCTGAAAGTGGCAGAGCAGCTGCTGACTGAAAGCTGCACACCTGCTGTCTCGTAGAGAGCTGTGACACTCCCAGGAGCTCGTTCTGTTTGTGATAACACATGTTGCAATAATCCCAGCTCCTCAATCAGTTAATGTCAGTGCGATGATATCTCAGATGCCAGTCTCTTGTATGTGATGTGGCATGCAGTGGGTGTCATCAACAGACCTGTCATAATCACAACATCCCCGCTGGCCATTCGACAGTTTATATGGTTGCATAATTAGTTGCTGTAGTGTTCTCACTGAACTGGAACTGTTGTTCATGAGAAAATGTGGCAATAGTTTTACTTTTTGAATCCTCTTTTTGGGTGGTTTGAGTTTCTTTGTTGAGAGAACCAATATATTGGACTGATATTAGCTGTTGAAAGACGCATTGATAATCACCATATATTAATTTCACTTATGATACTATTGATACTGGATTTACTGCAAAATAATTTGCATTTTGGGCATCTATTTTCTTATTAGTTAGTCCCCTAATACAATTGTTATATTATATAAACAAAGAACTAATAATAATGCTATCTAATAAAATCCTATTGGATCAAGTCAGTGTTATGGAGAAACTACTGGTTTAATCTGTTGGCTTCAACATCAGAAACCATATCAGTGTTGCCCATACAACTAATAAACTGGATGCTTTTTTATCAACAATGAAGGTAAACATTTTGTAATTAATTGATTAAAATGTCACATCTGTCTGGAGTGATGAGGAGACTGTAACCTTCCTCAAATTGATACATAAAACAAACAGAAATGTCATATTTCCATCCCTTTTCCACATTTTTCACTGGGTTGAAATTTGACTTTTTTAGTTACGTCATCTTGTTGCGCCCCTCTTCTTTTGCAGTTGCTCAGTGTCTGGAGAACAAGCACCACCAACTGCATAATATAATAGTATTCACATAACAGTAGTGGATGGAAACGCACATTCATTTGGATGGATTCAATTTGGATGGAAACGAGTGCAGGTGAAACTAATAACATTAACGATGGCTCTGTTCCAGCAATTATTTCAATGAAGCAGTTCATGTTATTAGTTACAGCTGTGTACGTCAAAATGTAGTTAGAAAGGTCCGTCCAGCTTTAGTTCCAGTCAACAGTTTTCCCCCTGGTCCTGTGCGATTCCTTGTAATGTCTCCGTGTCCCAGCAGTCAGGCAGTGGTTCTTTAACTGGGGACAGGCGCGGGGCCACCCAGCTGTAAGTCACACTGATGGTAGAGTTTTCCCAGTCTCATTCAGTCGCGTGCTGCAGCAAGGCTGGTTGTTGGATGGTGATATGTAACTTGATCCTTGTCTGTGTACCTTCTCCTCACCAGAGTCTACATCGGAAAGAGGTTGACCACGCCACCCGCCAGCTCTTTCTGAACCCGAACCTGAAGAAAAGTGCCTGAGAAGTGGCCACGAGTTGTTGGAGAAAGTTTTGCTGTCGTGAGAAGAACGCCCGTCTCTCCTCCCTCTGTCCCGCCTGTCCCCCCCCCTCCTCCCCTCGTCCCTGAGATATGACATGTTCTCAGGAGAAATGCATCTGCCTTTCCCTCTATCTCTCCCTTCCTTCGTCCGCCCCCTTTTTTTCTTGATCGCTGTTCTCCGAGTGTCTGTAGATATCCCCTCTCTGTCCCCTCATATCCTTCACTCATTTGTATAAGCTTTTCGAAGAATGAATAAGGTCATATTTCCCTTTCCTCAGTGTTTGGGTTTCAGTGTTTATAACGGGTGGGTTTGCAGGGAGGGTCACGGCATCAAACCAAACTCTTGCCCTTTGATCATCTGACAACAAGTTTTAGAGCCGACCGCAGATTGTGCCACCTACACGAGTAGCCCAGCACTCGATCTCGAAAGGGTTCGACCAAATTCAGAGTCGGCTACGCGAACTGAAAACGTGATCATGCCTTTTTGAAAGTAGCCATTTTTGTTCATTTTCTTTAGGCTTTTTTTATTTATTTTTTTCAACAGTGGTGGTTTATTGAAAAGTTCTAATGATGCGAGGAGTTACCATAGTGGCCATCTCAAACCACAAGCACTCGTGAATTGCACTGGGGGGAGTCTCTGGCTCTGTGTGCCAGACGAGAGAGATTTATGTGACTTTTTCTGTGATGGAAACTAGGAATTCTATTCAATTCTGCATCTGAATGAATATTTCTGCAAAGTGACAATAACTGGAAACCAGGGTGTGGATGTGTGTTGTGCAGGCAGCGTAGTCCCTCTCAGCGCGTACGCAAACAGTATTTTGTGGTTGGGTCTCGGGACCTGCGCTGTACGGTCTAGAAAGGTTCAGTCGTCTGTCCAAATGGACGGTGTCCACGTTGTCCTTCCAGTGAGCCTTCTGGTTTGTCCATAACATATCCTAGAGCTGCTTTGGTCCTGACCGGTCAGTTCCCACTTACTCTAACTCCAAACTGGGCTGGCTATTACATGGGACTCTTATTGTTTCATATTTTTATAGATTTTAAGTAATCAAAAAGCGCCAGGTACCAGAACACCAGATTTAAAAGAGAACTTGTTTTGTTACCATTTGTTTGAGAACTCCTTATTTTTTAAAAAAAATGAGATATTTCATCAAAGATAAAGTATGAAACTTGAAACTTTTAAGATATTGGTTGTCTTAGGTGAATTTTGTTTTAAAGCCGCTATCTTTGAGAAAAATGTCCAGTGGTAGCCAGCCCTGCCTTCTAACACTCCAACAACATTTTGCCAAAATTTCCACAAAATAAATATTTCACGAATCTGCAGATGACGGAATCTGATTCCAGGGTCAGTCCGGGTCAGCCTTAGTGTGGACAAGCAGAAGGTAGCAGGTTGACATTCGCTGGAGTGACACTGCAGACGTGAAGCAGCTTCTAATCGAGTGAAGGGAAGTTTGTTTTTACAAGGCTCTACTTTTTGTGTGAACACAGGTACTTGGCTAGCATGTTCAGTAAGGTATCGGCTACACTGCAGTATCTCTGAGGCTAGACCGTGGTCAGTTTCGTCCCTGTGGACCTTCCATGGCTAGGCCTGGGTCAAATAATATTTGATTTTGAAATATGCCAGATCCCAAGAAGTTATTCTTTTTTTCTGCGGGACATACAAGGATATCTTTTGGAGCACACTCATTCCAGCCAGAAGTAAATAATACCTTTTAAAGATCTGGTATTTCAGTTAAATAAACTTCAGTTTTTCTTCCACTAACTGGTTGGTTGCTGACTACATTGTTGACACGTGTTTTGACATATAGGATGACACAATGAGTTCCAGTTTTAAATGTGAACATCATACTACCTATATGTGACATTTTTGACAGAAAAAGACAATAAGACAGATATGGATGTCTCTTTGTTGCCTTTTCAACAAAGCCTCTCCATGAAATAATTGAGCTGCAGATACTATTTAACCCAGCAGGACGTGTTATCTTTTTGTTTTACCTCTTATGACAGACTCATGAACTACCAGCAGAGACTGTTGTCTCAACCACAGAGGTACTGCGTTGTTGTTTAGTGCGACATACGTGTCTCTGCCTGTGTGTGCGTACAGCGACATTTCAGATTGTTCTTTCCTGTTTTGTTTCGAGTCGTCTGTTTTGTTTGTTTGTTTTTTCCTGATGTTGCAGAAAGATTGTGAACGCACAGAGCAAGTTAGAAAGTGTGAAAATAAAACCCCCTATTGTTGATGGCAGGGCCTAATGTGAATAGGAAATGGAAGGTGTGGAAAGAGATTTCCCTCAGACTGCGATGGTCTAACAGTAGTTATTGTAATGATGCATTTGCTTTGATTTTCTTTTTCCCACTACATTGGAAAAAATGATAAACATTTTGTCATTAAAGATTACCTGAATGAAGCTGTTCACTGAGTGTGCTTTTTTTAAATGTTCACAGTTCAAAATAAATGTTTTAATACTTGTATCCCACAGGAAACCTTCAGTCCTTTAAAGATTTATTGCTGTTAAAGAATATTTATTTAAAGGTCCAGTGTGTAACATTTAGGATGTTCTATTTGCAGAAATGGAATATAATATTCACAAGTATGTTTTCATTAGTGTATAATCACCTGAATGTGAGAATGTTTATACAGTAGCCCAGAATAACTGGCTGTAGAGGGCTTCCCTTTTTGTTGATACTTAAACTGTAATCCTGAAGGACTTAAACTATTTTCATATTTTTTTGCACATTCTTGTCTATAAAATGATGATACAGTTATAAATAATACAAGTTATCAGAGCTCAAAGTGATAAGTATTCTAAAAATGTTTATTTTGTTTGACCTGACTATAATATGAAATCGATAAAAGCAACCATATCTCAAATCTGATCAATATTGCAACAGAAGTCCTGAAAGTGGACAAAAAAATTGATAAGTTTAAGTAAGGCGGTAAAAAAACCAAAGCATGGTTTACATTTAGTATTACCTTACCATCTGCAAGAGCATTACCATCACTTCATTGTTAATTGTTAAAACTGTGTTTCATTTTTTCCGTCTTCTTGTTTCACACTCTGCCAGCCTCAGCAGCTGTCACAGGCCACAGCCATTGTCTTGGACATGATTCCACCGCAGCAGAGGCTTTGCACGTGCCTAGTGAGTTAGCACACATAGCTGAGACCTGAGGCATCGGGCCTTTCAGGAAGTCACAAGATGTTTCCTAACTCGCTGGAAATTCCAATCAGCTCTGCTTGACAGTTACAGTATGTGGATACTCAGATACTCAGATCAGTTAGGAAAGAAAAGCAGCTGAGGGGCAAAGACACTGGGCTTGTCTTTCAGGCAGTGTGTTTATTAGGTAATGACAGCCAAAAACAATTACATTTAGCTTGAAATCTTAGCAAATTATTCATGTTAATGGGTCTGCAAAGGGTTAAGTTGACCGAAGAAGCACTTGAGATTGTTTATTGTCTCTTGTTTTAAATCTGTACCTGAGTTGCCCTGCTGTTTGTTTTTTATAGCCCTTCCTGTCAAATATAACATTTCCAGAAGTGTCAAGTTGTTCTTTGCAGAAACCCCTTCCCCATCAAACCTTTGACCCTTTGTGATTCAGATGTTTTAGCAGCTTGAAAGCAGAGCAGGGAGGCCTTCAGGGTGACACCATGTCAGCACTGATTTGAAATTGCTCAGCGAGGCCCCTGAAGAATACCGCGTCTATGTCTCTCCCCCTGTGTGCTCTCCCTCTCTCTCACAGGAGACAAGAGTAAATGTGTTGCAGGGAGCTGACTGTGGAGGCACTGCACTCCAGTGGCAGACCCTCTGCAGTGCTGATGGTCAGTGGTGCTTTCTGTTATTTCCTTGGAAACATTTCCCCACAGTTACCATAAACTCTCATTTACAACCCATATATTCTACTGTAAGCTGTGCCGTATCCATGTTTTTAATTTTTTTCCCCCCTTAATGTTGCTAAAATGTCGTGTAGGAACCCATCTTCTTCACACACCCCTGTTTAAGCATTCTTGTTAAAGTGTCTACAAATAGCACAAAGAGGAAACATGAAGTGGGAGACGCTTGTCACACATCTATTGCGGATCTTAGTATGGATCCCAGAGTACCCAGCTGTAACACTGTACATTTGCATTATGGCCTTAAGCATGATAGTACTCCTTCCCATGCCTTGCAGATGTTTAGTTTCCTTTTTTCACACAATAACACACAATCTCTGCATAAGAACATCTGCACAGGTAATGTACTTTTCCCTTTAGCTTTATGAAGCTTTATGTATATTTCTACTCTCACACTCTGCACACTGGGGCTTTACCTCTCAGTTATTATTAAAGCTACCCTACATAAAACCTCTCTGCTGTCTCTGCCCCTCCACTACCAACCTACTTTCACTAGAGTTAAGAAGACCCCATCCATAATGCTCGGATTTCACTCGCCCAAAATTCAAAATAGATTTATTAAAAGTAAGCATCTGCCTTTTGTTCTTTAGTGTTGTCAGTCCTGGTTGAAAAATACTAAATATAATTCTGTACTCCACAACATTTCTTTAATCATTGTAGTTACTTCACAAATACAAAAAAAGCATACAAAACATATAATGAGCTTATTAAAATACCACCATTAATATAAAGTATAAAGTAAATATGTTTAACCTATAGCATAACATACAGTAAACATAATATCAGTGGTGGAATGTGATGAAGCACATTAACTCAAATACTGTACCTAACTTGTACCTAACATTTTCCGCTACTTTGTCCTTCTACTGCACTACATTTCAGAGGGAAATATTATACTTCACTACATTTATCTGACCGCTTTAGTTACCTAGCAGATTCAGGTTATTAATACAAAATATGATCAACTTATACATTATATATAAAGTAGGTAAAATTAGCCCTATCTTTACCAGCTGCAACATTATTTATATTCAGTGATCTGTAATTATAATCCAATAATATATATTATTCTGAAATCAGCCAGTCTGCATAATGAATACTTTCTTTTGGTACTTAATACTATTTTGATGCTAGTACTTTTGTACTTTTACTTAGGTAAAACTTTGAATGGAGGACTTGTACTTGTAACAGAGTATTTCCACACTGTAGTATTACTACTTCGACTTGAGTAGAAGATCTGAGTACTTCTTCCACCACTGCATGATATACAGTATACTGTATATTCACACAGAGGCACTTCAGCAGGGTCACAGTTTGATTGTGGGGATAAAACATCTCTTATAGAGGTTCTTTTCACCTGTTGGTGCTTTGAATACTTTACACTTTAGTTGAGATGATGGATACCAGTCTCATATATGTTTGCTTAGAAAAAAGACTGTAAGCAAGGGGAAACAGGTGGTCTGGATCCGTCTAAAGGTAACAAAATATGCCTACCAGAACCTCTAAAGCTCGCTAATTAACGTGTTCTCATTTGTTTAATCCGTATAAACGCTGAGGTGTTAAAACAAAATGAAAAATAGAAAAGCTATTTCTTGGCTGGGAGCTGCTGGCTCCAGCTTTATTTTTACCGTACAGACATGAGAGTGCTATCTATCTTCTCATCTAACTCTCTCAAGAAAGCTAATAAGTGTTCTCATAAAATGTCCAAATGTAGCTTTTTTGATCATAATGTTTTGCGCAATGAGGCTAAATGAAAAAGAGCTACAGAGGCTGGTTACCTTTCTTGTTATTCTCATAGGTGCAACTATGTGTAAAATAAAGATAATGAGACTTTAAATGAAGGCAGTGCATTGAGTCAAATATAGCAGAGAGTCTAAATGAATGGAAGAAATCCAAAAAGGAATGAAGAAAGTGTAGAGCTTCTAGAAAACGTCAAAACCCCCACTTAATGTTCAGTTGACTGAGATGCAGGTGGATGTGACTTCAGGGACATTTCAGTTAACCCATTTAATAATACTAAAATATCAGGAAGGTCACTGGTGATCAAAGTAAAAAAGAAAAAGAAAGAACAGAAAAAGCTATGACTAATGTGTCAGTGATGAGTTACGTCAGGTAAACAATAAGTGATGTGAGAGTAAACCCTCCTGAGCCCTGCTTCCTCCTCAACAACCAGTCCTCCTCCATCTTCCCTATATGGAACCTCAGCACACCTGTTCCCGGCCAATCCAGACACAGTGACACAAGTAGCTCCTCCCACTGCAGCTGATGGCGTTACCATGGGTTACAGGGTGGTGGCCAGCTCGTCTCCATCCCTCTGGTGAGGAGACTTTTCCTCCTCATTTCCTCGGGATTCATCAGCACTAACACACACTGTGTGATCCACTGAGAGGAAGAAATCAGAGTCCTGACAGTCTTTCAATAATTAGTAATAATTCAGTGTACTCAGAGCAGCCCTGTGCCAGATTGGCTTGTTTGGATGCTGTGTCTGCAGATCAAGACAGCTGTAGTGTGTCGTAAATGTGAAACATCAGCTGTGTTCATGCTTTATTTATGAAGTATAAACGGATCTTACAGCTAACATAAACTGCAGACACACAAAGCCATAAAACACAGCAGCAACAATTTCTAGTATTCATATTTATTCATAAAACTAACTCAGTGATGTACAGCATTTGACAAAAATGTCTATTCCCGTTTGTTCTGTTTGCTGCTTGTTTCCATCTTCCACAATGTGTGTTAGTTAAGTCCCACTCAGATCACTTTAGTCACCCTTTTTGCAGTTAAAGTGATGGGTTAATTCATATATTTTATATTATTGAAAGAAATATTTTCTGGGTATATATTAGAAACTGTCCTTTAACTTCTAAAACTGTGAGTGGGGTTGACAGCAGAGCCTGCGGGCACACCATGTAGAGGAGACCGGGGGCATTTGTAACAGTTTTTGGTTTTGATTGATTGAAACCTCTTGAACTATTTAGATACAACAAATTGGTTAACAGTCATCAAATGTTTTAATAAGTAATGTTAGAATCACGATATTGATTGATACGCTAGAAGTTAAATGTTACGCCTGCCCCCATCTGCAGGGGCCGATTGTACTAGCATATAGGGGCAGTTGTAACAACACACGTAGTAGGCTGCCTTTACATAAATGCCTAATTATTCCCAAGAATATGGATATAGTTCAAATCTATTGAACCATTAATTCCAGTTTAATTAAAACAGCATAATTAATCATATTATTATACAAATATAAAAATCGTTTCCACTCAGCATGTGCTGTTCAGTGTGCTACAGCTCACATGGACCTTTTTCCTGGTGGATGTAACACAATGCTAGGGTTTCAATATTATAAAGTTTATTTCTGTTCTGTTGGGCTGTCTGGCCTAGCGGGTATGTTGCGACTTTACACAGAATTAACTTATATAACTGGCGACAGCGTTCTGACCAGGTAACACACAGACAGCAGGCGTCGTCACAAAACAAAGAAAAAGAGTCCACAGCCATGCTGGCCGCTCTGTGAGGCAGCAGCGCTTTTAGCTAACACTAATGTCTGCATGCTGGCAGCATATTGTGAACTGCTGCAATGACAATGCTAACATGCTAATGTTTAGCAGTAATGTTAACATATTCACCATCTTAGTTAAGCAGGTTAGCATGCTAACATTAGCTAATTAATGTCATTAGTAGTATTGGACACTTTAAGTTTTGCCCAAGGACCCTTCCAAAGTGAAGAAGACTAAAGTGAACAGTGTTTCTATTCTATATTTTTCCTTTTTTTGTTTTATTTTTTTAACATTTGCACCAGCTTCATGATACATGCTGACTGATTTCAATTTCTTACATGCCTGGATCTGTTTTCTTGCAAAATCAAGCAACCATTAAATTGACTTCAGATTGACAAACTGCAGTGTAAACTAAACAGAACCAATCTAATCTAATCTATTAGGCAGTTCCAGTATGTTTTCACCAGGAGCAGCAGATTAGAGAATCCACACATATTGCTGATCTCACTACTTGTCCTACATCTGTTCCTGGATGCCAGGACCGTGCCCTTCCTGTCCAGAGACCAGACTCCCCCTCTGCCTCCTCCAACTGTTTATCGGGCACGCTGCCAACTTTCCCCTCTAATTATCTAACACTCCCCCCTGTCTCTGCTCTCAGCGGGGGGACATTTGTTTTGTTTGTGTGGGTGAGGGGGGGGGCACACTGTCTCTGCCTTTGGGTGTGGCTGCTCCTCCGATATTTTCACTTTTCAGAATCCACCTCTGACATTTCAGAACATCCAGACTTGGGTCATCCTCTCCTGCAGAGCGACCACCCACCCACACACGCACGCACACAGCAGCACACAGCACACACACACACACAGAGCGGCCCTCTAGGAGAGGAAATATTAGCAGCAAAGCCATTTGCTGCCCACCACGTTGTTATGGAAACTGGGCCGGCATGGACTCAGTGCTGAAATGTTCTCCATGGTCACTTGTGCAGGAGAGGTTTTGTCTGTTATAATGTGAGTCAAGAATTAACAATGAGTGTTAGAGTGAGCTGTTCCTGCCTGCTCTTATTGATCACCATGCAGCACTGATTTATTTATACCTCACAGTGATCTATTCTCTGTGAGGCTCAACTGAAAATGGAAAATGTCCATTACAAACCATAATTAATGAATACACATAGTGCTTACAATGACAATCTAACTTTACTTGGAGCTACATGATAAGTTCATGAAGGTAAATCTGCATCCGTATTTTAATTACTCTTTTCCTTTGACTTTATATGGTGACTTCATTTATTGCTTAAACTGTAGCACATAACATAACTTATAATGCATAAAATTCCTAATATGATAATGTTATGCACAGATTCCAGTGGTTAATACTTTTTCTTTGTTGAATAAAACCCTATATTTAAAAAAAAGATATATTATTGCTTATTAGAAGTATTTCTACGAGAGCATGGAATGTTCTTGTTTTTAAAGTTGTTATCTCAATATCACAAATTATTTATTTAGTTATCTTGTGAAAACAAGCTTTGTTATCTGAAGATAGCGAGATAATCAACCTATTATCACGAGAAAACAAGTTAATTCTAGTTATAATAGGCTTAATTTGAGCAG